ACGATGGTTGGGCTGCAGTTTACTACGGCGGCTGCGCATGACACTACGGCGAGTAAATTGCGAAAATTCTTCAATGATCAAGGTATGGCTAAGGCGTTTTATTGGCTGGGGAAATTTCGCCGAAGACTTGTCTTTGGAGATTATTTATGTGCAGCATGTTGACAGTACACCAATGCGCAAGTGGCAGAATTGTAAAGATATCAATGATCTGGAGAAAGGAAGACAAAGTGATAAGACAATTGCGAAGTTGTGGAGAAACGCACATCAGTATCAGTTGACGTTATTCTACGAAGACGTTCCAAGTATCCCACTTAATCAGCATTCATAGGAATGGAGAAGGCGATTGGGGAAAAAACGCAGCAGTAAGCGCTTTCAGTGAGGTGTTTTATCGAATACATTTTTTTTTAGCTTGCAACATAAATGATTGCAGTTTGTGGATGTATGCCAACAATACTTCACAAGTATGTGCTGAAGTTTTCGCAGTGTAGAGGGAGAGTTTGGGCAAGGCAGGGTGTGCTTTTGAAGGCTGAAGTGAGTTTAGCAGCGGTGAAAAGCAATGGTGTGATGCCCAGCACCGCCCAGAAATCGTGGAGTAGAACGAATTTCTGCTGTTTTTTTTGTGCCTGTGTGTTTCTCCGTCATCATTGAACGGTGCACACTTGACTTGACTGCGGTTGGCGCAGTGAGCAGAGTGGCGGCGTTGTGGGCGGGGGACTTCGCAGACAGAAGCCCGCGGGAGGCACGTGCCCCCAGGCGGCGCCAAACAGATGATAGATAGTTTTGTGCAGCTCCCCTGTTTCTTTGCCGATGGTTTTTATTTTCGTTTTTTTTTCCACGATGCCGCACTGTAGAGCGGCGCAAGTGTTGTAGTTTTTGTTTTATTATTATTTTTATTTTTTATCTTCCCGCCCCAACCCCCCGCTGCCGCTGCTGCGACGAGCGCCCTCCACGCGGAAGGGCGTCTGTTGGCTGCGGGCCATGCAGACCGCCACTCAGTGAACCCCCAACGGGGCCCCGGACACCACGGCCGTGCGTATTTTGGTCCCATGAGTTGTGTGGCTGCGCGGGCGCGGGCGTGGGAGCAGCCTCTTTTTTTTCCGTGGGGGACGTTGGGGCGCACTGAGCCAAACTGTAATTCCCCCACTGTGGGGCCTTCTCTCTTTCTTCGGAATGGGAAAGATATGACCTAAACCAGAGAGGCAAAGTTATATATTTGTTTTGTTTTTTTTTCTTGAGCACACTTCCCGTGGCTTGCCGCTGCGTGGGCTGCGGTGCCACCTCGGCTCTCAGTTGTCCTCCGCCTCCTCCTTTTTCCATCCTGCGTCGCCGCTGCTGTGTGTGTTTGTGTGTGCATCTCCGCGTGCTTTGTCCTTGCCGTTTCGCTGCGTGTCTGTAGGTAGACATAGCCCCACCTACACGATACAGACACGTCTATTGCCGTGCGCGTGGATGTTGCTTTTGTAGTTGGTGCTGGCGGTTCCTTCTGCTGGCCTCTGCTGCCTCCTTCCGCGGCTGTGAAGGAAAAGAATAGGCAGAAGGAGAAGGCAAGAGGGAGGAAAGCGCACTGTGGCTCACTCTCTTATTTTCCTTGCGGGTGCAGAGCGCTGCCTGTGGGGGTGTCTTGCCCTTTTTCGTATCAGCGGACTGCGGCACAAAATGCCGCCGCAACGAGGCAGTGTCATTGTCACCGTGAGTGGGTGATACCTTTGCGTAGTTGCACACACGCACGCGGAGATACGGATGTGTGGGGGATAAGAGAGAAGAGAAGGAGCAGCATTGCAGTGGTCGTGCGCCCCGCAATTGGCGCACCTCACTGGGATTGCCCGGAGGAATCCAAGTTGTTCTCGTCGCCTGTGTGTGGGAGGGGTTGCCGAGCTTCCTTGCCTACTCTGCGTGTGGGATTGGGTTGTGCCTATGTGTGTGTATCACGGGAAACAATACGTTCCCCTCTTCTTGTGGCGTGTGTGTGTGTTGAATGGCGTTGCTCTCCGTCTCCACCTGTGCAGATGCGGCGCGTGGGCTGCCGCTGGCTTCTTGTGTGTGTGTGCGTGTTTGTGGATTGCTGCACTTGCTCCCTGCCGTTGGGTGCGCTGCCTCGCCGGCTGGCCGCGGCGGGTTTCTTGCGTTGCGGAGGCCGCGGGTCCCTCACGTGTGTAGGGCCGGGCGCCGCAAGCGAAGCGGAGCAAAGCCAGCGCCGCGCGAGAATGACGGCCGGGCCGCCCGAGGCGCCGCGGGCCACGACAGACACAGCAGTATTGGCAATCGAGGTGTTGGCGCGCCATCCCGACCCTGGATGGTGACGACGACGGGTTAGGGTTAGGGTTAGGGTTAGGGTTTGTCTACCGCCGAGAATATTTACGAAAGGTACAGTAATGTCATATTCCCTGGTTTGTTGCGTGTGGAGAGGGGAAAAACAACACAATGCTAACTTGTAGTGTGGTTGTTTTTTGCGTGGGATGCTGCGTTGTGTGAAGGCATGTTTTTTGTTCTTTTTACTATTTTTCCTTCAACACGAGCAGCGTGGAGCAAAGGTGTGTGCGAAAACCAGATTAT